ACCAAGAGGTTGCCTATTTGATTCCCAGTCAGGGCACATGCCCAGGTTGCAGGCTCCATCTCCAGTGGGGGCCGTGCAGGAGGCAGCAGATCAATGTTTTTTTTCTCAAAAAAACATCTATCGTTCTCCTTTCCCCTCTCTCTGAAATCAATAAAACCATATAAAAAAACCACAAAGCAGTCCAGTGTGCCTGAATGTGCAGATGTATGTTCTGGCTTCTCCTTTGCCCAAATAACACTTAGTTCTTTAATAACAAGTCTTACTATTTGACAGAACCTCTTCCTCCACCTTCATGACTGTTTTGGCTATTCTAGAACCTCTGCTATCTATGCTAATAAAAGGGTAATATGCTAATTAGACTGGACATCTTCTGGACGACCTTCTGGATATCCTTCCTGACAAAGTCGGGCCGGGTGAAGCTGCCCGCCTGTGGTCCCGCACGCCAGCATCTGCAGCTGCAGCCCAGGAGAGGGCGAAGCCACCTGCCTGTGGTCCTGGGTGCCAGCAGCTGTGGCTGCGGGTCAGGCAAAGCCAGCCCGGGTCCCAGGTGCCTTGCCTGTGGCCGGCCAGAGGGAGGGAAGCCTGGGTCCTGGGTGCGGGGCCAAGGCAGAGGTGGTTAGGGGCGATCAGGTCAGCAGGGGAGCAGTTAGGGGTCATGAGGCAGGCAGGCAGAGGTGGTTAGGGGCGATGAGGCAGGCAGGCAGAGGGGTTAGGTACAATCAGGCAGGCAGAGGTGGTTAGAGGCTATGAGGCAGGTAGACAGAGATGGTTAGGGGTGATCAGGCAGGCAGGCAGGTGAGCAGTTAGGAACCAGCGATCCCAGATTGGGGGAGGCAGTCGGACATCCCCTGAGGGATCCCAGATTGGAGAGGGTGCAGGCTGGGCTGAGGGATTCCGCCCCCCCCCCGCCGTGCACAATTTCGTGCACCAGGCCTCTAGTTTCATATAAATTTGGAACCAGATGGTCAATTTAAAAAAAAAAAAAAAAAAGAAAAGAAAAGAAAAGAAAAGAAAAAGGAACAAAGAGAGACGTCCTGGGATTTCATTGAGATTGGAGTGATCAATTTTGAGAGAACTGACATCTTTACAATATTGAGTCTTTGAAACCACAAATAAACTATCTCTCTCCATTTTCTTAGGTCTTCTTAATTTCTCTGTACTATGTTTGATCTTTGTTTTAGATAGGGGCTTGCACATCTTTCATTTTTGATAAGTAAGTGATTCTCTTTGATACTTTAAAAAATCACATATTAAAAATTTTCTTTTCTAACTATGTTGTTAACATATAAAACACTTAATTTTTAAAATGTTGACCTTGTATTACAATCTTGGTAAACTCATTTTTTAATTCTTATAATGTATGTACCAATTCCTTCTTGAATGATTATTTTATTTTCATTTTGAGTCTTGAAACTTTTAACTAATTAAAAATGAATTAATTAATCAACTGCCTATTGCACTTACTAGGGTCTCTGGTTCAATCTGAAGGAGGCAGTGAGAGTGGGCATGCTTGTTTTGTTCTTCAGCACAAAGAGAAGTCTCTCTCTCCATTTCTTTCTATTTGTATATGCTGTTGAAGTACTTGTAAGATGAGCACATTCCTGGCTCAATATGTAAAGATGACAATTTCTCTCTGCCATTAATGTATCAGTTCTAAAGAGTCCCATTTGAAATCCCCAGAGTATATTTCATAGGCCTTGATAAACTGATTAAAAAATTATCTAAAGGAGAATGTATATATGCAAGAATTGCCAAGGAATTTTCAGAGAGCAAAAACAGTGAGAGGGTTTGGGCTAGATATTAAAACACATTTGTCTTAGGTCAGCTACCCTAGAAGCAGAGCTGAAGACAGGGATTCTTGTTCAGGTATTTGGAGGGGGTGTGTGTCTTTGAGAGAAGCAGGACCAGATAAGGGAAACATGTTAATCAGTTATGTGGCCTCAGCAAGAGTTTAGCTTCAGTCTGATCCTATGGAGGAAGCTCTGGATGACAAATTGCATTTACAAAATGAGTCCTATTTTGATGCAAGGGGACTGTCCTGCCCTTTAACATCTTTATGCCAATGACTCACTCCTGAGGTGTGCCCTGGTGAGGGTGGGGTGCTGTGTATTTCCTGGCAGGTTGTTCCCATTTAGCTGAGCGTCATGTGACAAAAGGGCAGCTGTGAGTTATCAGCCAAATCAGTAACTGGGTGATAGAAACACTGGCTGGTTAAGAGAATTGGGGTGGGACCCCAGTAGCATCCACTACATTATAGGCTTGGAGACAAAAATGTTATAAGCCAGTATTAGTAACAGACAGGCGGAGGTTGTGCCAAACTTGGGATGGGATGGGGAACTCATTACTACTCTGATTCAGGGCTTCATTAGCTTCTGTCCTCACTCATAAGCATAGAAACAATTTTTATAGTTTCTAATTATTAACATATCTACCTTTAGGACAGTTTTGATACTAGAAGGGGCTGATAAAATAGAAGGGGAAGGGATCCAATGCTTGAAGGTTTTGATGACATTGAAAATGAGGGTTAGAAAGATCAAGGACAGGCATCTGTAACCAGATGGAGAAATTTTGGTGTCCAGTTAAATTTTGGTTACAGCAGGAGTAGTCCCTGGTGATGGCAACACCCACAGTGCAGCCATGTACATGGGCTTCCAGAGGAGAGGGGAGGCGAGAGTCAGGGAAGTGAGAGATGCTGCTGACCTGGACTGTGAAGATATACAGAGGGATGCTTAGGGGGACTGAAGACCACATGCCAAGCATCAGGGTGCAAGGTTATGGCTGGGGACAGGGTGGCACAGGGAGATGTTGTAAGTCTGAAAAGGGGACATTAGAAGTGACTGAAGGAAGAATAGCTTGGAAGAAGAGCAGAGAGGGATGACAAATGGGCACCTTGCTTTCTGATCTCAAGATTTGAGTGACTTCCCTCAGTGAAGACTTTGTGGGGTGTGGTGGTCTCAGGGAAAGCCAGGCATCCTTGTGAAGACCGGATGATAGAGAAAATGCTTTAGGAAGAAGCAGCGAGCAAATGGAAATAGCTGGGCATTGGAACAGGGAGTCTAGGGTCCCAGAGAAAGGAATTAGAAGACATATTGATAGGAATACTAAAACATAATTGCCAACTCAATGATTCTATGCCATTTTTTAAAAATGTTTATTTATTGGGGGTGACAGTGATTAATAAAATTATATGTATTTCAAGAATACAATTCTATGATACATCATCTGTATATTGCATTGCGTGTTTACCACTCAAAGTCAAAACTTCTTCTGTCACCATTTGTTTGACCCCTTTTACCCTGTACAACCCTCTACCCAACTTCCTTTTGGTAATGTGTCTATGAGATTTTTTTTTAAATATATTTTATTGATTTTTTACAGAGAGGAAGGGAGAGAGATAGAGAGTTAGAAACATCGATGAGAGAGAAACATCGATCAGCTGCCTCCTGCACATCTCCTACTGGGGATATGCCCGCAACCCAGGTACATGCCCTTGACCGGAATCGAACCTGGGACCTTTCAGTCCGCAGGCCGACACTCTATTCACTGAGCCAAACCGGTTTCGGCGATTTTGTTTGTTTTTTCATTTCATTGGCATCCAGGGTTGACTCCATAACTAAGTGCTAATTCTTTCCAAACCTTCCTCAGTTTGCACATTTATCGGAGAGTTAGAAAGCAAAGTTAATTATGTACAGCTTTGAGTTTGCTTAAAGAGGTGTAATCAAAATATTTTTTTAAAAAGCAAACTATGAGTATTGAGATTGGCACAGGCATCAGCCAGCCCTTTGAGGCCGTATCGCTGAGATAAGTTGCTTCCTTAAGCAGACATTCACGTGAGAGGGAAGAGCTTAGATATCCTTCTAGGATTCGCTGCTTGGTAATGTGATGAATCTCCACACCTTCAGTCCAAGCACTGCTTCCTTTAATGAACTAGTAGAGCCAGTAAGGATGCCCCAGGATTGGTAGGAAAAACCGGAATTTGGAGGTAGAACTTTCTGTTGAGGATTTTGTTTTAGTAGTGTTGCTTTCCTGAGTTCAGTGAGCTTGTTGGATGTTTATGAATTATTGATGCTTAGCCCAATGTTTGCTACACAATAGAGTCTCAAAAAATGTTTATCAAATGAATTAAAGTGAGAGACATCATAATTAATAAACAGAATACTTGAGAACAAGTGTGTGTGTGTGTGTGTGTGTGTGTGTGTGTGTGTGTGCGCGTGTGTGTGTGTGTTTGGCTGCCTGCCCAAACTTTTCTCATGACGTTTTCTCACTATATTTCTAGCAAGATAGTTTTTTATATTTTCATTTTCTTCTTTGCATTTGGCATCCCCCACATAATGCAACCGCAAATTTAACTTAATTACAGAGACTGGGCTTGTCAGGACATAGCTCTCTACATCTGTGGTAAGTAAGTATGCATTGATTCAGAGCTTCCTGTGGCCATAAACCACTGGTTCCCAACCTCAGCTGCACATTAAGTCACCTGGGGTGATACAAATTCTGCTGCCTGGTTCCCACCCCAGCGATGCTGACTCAGTGCGTGGGGTTTGGGCATAGATCTTTTTTTCCTTCCCTTTAAGTTCCCCAGGAGATTTTAATGTGCACCCAACGTGTAGAACCAGTTTTTCTCAGAGGATCCCTGATATCATTAGGGTTGAAGGCCCTCTCAAAGTCTCCCCCTGCTTGGGTAATAATTCATTTAACTTGGCTGTTCTAATGCTGCCTGTGGTCCTGGGTTGAGCCGCTGAATTTGGTTTAATTTTGCTTTCTGGTTAATTTAGATTGCTTTATACTTGGCTTCCCAAAAGAATTTCTAAGAGATTTTTGAAAAGTGAGAAATTGCAGCTCTCCTAAGTCTCTTATCTGAGCTACAGTTCACATGCAATTACTGACAACTTCAAGTGAATAACTTCATGGCCATGCAGGACATAGAAAATGCAATCCTCAATTTTGTCATAAACCTTGCATGCTAATTTTATGAGGGACATTATCATTGAGAAACCAAAGGTTGTTTCACTGGAAATGCAAAAATGGTAATGACTAGGGAGAGGCAGAGGGAGAGATATAAATAAAAGATCTAAATTACTCATGTTACACGTGCTTCCCAGGTCCATGCTCAGATACCTCTGTCTCTCCAGAAGCCAGGTAAGTTCTCTCTTCAGCTCCCACTGAAGACTTTTTGTGTTTTGAGAATGTTTATTGATTTGAAAGAAGAACTTTTATAGTGGGTAACTTTCCTTGGGGTGGTTTTATTTACTTCAGTGCCTACATAGCCATGAAGCAGTATCTTCTTCAGGTAGTTTGACAGCAGGTTAATTCATTGTATTTCTGGGTTAACCTGCAAGGAATCCCTGTGAGGAAATTCAGGGGTGAAATGGAAGTTTGAACAGCAGATGGAAGATGTCTTAGCTAGCAGGATGGGTCCTTGATCGCAAAGAACCCACCAAAGTCTGTAGACTGTCAAAAAAATTATTCTGCCTTAATCTCATTTTTGTTTTAGATTTTTTTCTTAAAGCCTTTACTAACTAATTATTAACATCTCTAGGTAGCTGGAGATGAAGAAAATATAAAGTGTAGTTTATTTGTGGTAAATATTAATTGTTCTTAAAAGTTTGTTTGATGAGATAAAAGTAATGTGAACTTACTGTATAAACTGAAAAAAATGTAAACAAAAATTATAAAAAGGAAACTCTTTTACTTCCACTTAATAATCCATGGCATTACCGTTGAGGAAAAATTGAGCCCCGAATCAAGTTTTCATTCAGTTAGGCGTTGGGATTTAAGAGAGTGAATGCATCCTACCATCTCTGCACAGGATTTTGAATCAATTGAGAAAATATTAGAGAAGGATACACTCTTGGCTTTATTGTTGTTATGGCTGGACCAGAGAACACAGCTTGGATCCGAGGCCATGGGTTTCCTCTGGCTTCCCCTTGCCTGGTCGTGGGTGCAGCATCTGGGCAGGCCAGACGAGGAGGGCAGGCGCTGGGCTGGCGGGGAGCTTACTTCAGGGAGGAGGCGGAGGGCAGGCAGATGCAGGCAGGTTCTGACAGAGAAAAGAGGGAGTCAAACCAAGGCACCTAGCTCCCTGGGGAAATGAGAACCGAGAAGCACCAGATGGTGCCCAGCTGATGCACATCTCCAGTCAAGAGAAGGCTAAGGGGTGAGAAGCAGGCCACAGGGACTTTTCCATCTTTTTTTCTTTAAAGAAAACACTGTATTGGGGTATAATTGATATGCATAAAGCTTACATATTTAATGTATACAACTTAATCCCTGTGATCAAGACCATAAACATATATATCATCTTCAAAAGGGTTTGTAGCTATTATCGTTCTCAGAGGAAGTACTGTCTGAAATACTCTCTGAGAGTTCTGCAGCTCAAATCCAGGCCTATCTCAGTATCTGAATTTAATTTGTTTATTGAAATATTCCATAACCCCTCTTTTTCTGGATCAATGCAGGAAGAGAAGCAAGAAGGGTTCCCATGATCTAAAGCAATTCCAACAAGCGCTCATTTGATTTTTCTTTAAAAAAATTATTTTTCAGGTAAACTTCACATTTAGTATTATTTTGTATTAGTTTTGATTGTTGTTGCTATTCTAGATCTCACTAGAATCATCATGGAATCACTTGACGCAGTGACCTTTGGGTTTAATCTTTTCAAAGAGCTGAATAGAAAAAAAAATGGCAACATCTTCTTTTCCCCTGCGAGTATCTTAGCGGCTGTCGGCATGCTCCTCCTGCGGACCCGGGGAGCCACTGCCACCCGGCTGCAGAAGGTAGGTAGGATGGCAGCCATGGCTTTTCTGGCAGACTCTTTTCTGGGATGAGCCTTCGAAAATTGACTTGAAAACATGATCTTTTTGACCCATGGGCCAGGAAACAAAGAAAGCGTGTGAGGACATGAAGTAGTTTTAGGTTTATCTCTTCCCTCTCTAAATTCCACCCTGCCATCTGCTCCCTGGTGCTTGAAATTCCTCCAGGTGAGGGCTGGGAGAGGCCCTGTCCAAAGACATTAACCTGATAAAGACAGAACCATAATCCCCACTGGGGTATAAACGACACATCAAAGATGAATATGTGCATGGGTGAACCAATTTAAGCTCCCCTGAAGATAGCCAGAGCTTTTCATGATTTGGCAAGGAGACAAATCTTCCTGTGTGACACTGAGGAGTCTTTAGCAAACGTCCACTTCCCCTGACTGATTCCGTGTGGGGCTTTCTCTGCTCTGATCCTCACCATGATATTTTCTGTCTTTTCCAGGTGCCTCTCTCTGAAAAAGACACAGATAGCTCAAGAATCAAAGCTGAAGAAAAAGAGGTGGGAGACATGTCTTACCAACTTCACTAAGGTGGCTTAGTAGATGTGGGCTCACTGGGGAAATGCGTAGAGGAGGTACTACTTCATGCTTTTTAAAAAAAATCTTTATTGTTTAAAGTATTACATATGTCCCCATTTTTTCCCCAATTGATCCCTTCTAGCCCACCCCCACCCTCACCCTAGGCCTTCACCACCCTATTGTCTGTGTTCATAGGTTATGCATGTATGCATACAAGTTCTTTGGTTGATCTCTTCCCTTCCACTCACTCACCCTTGCCTTCCCTCTGAGATTCGACAGTCTGTTCCATACTTCTATAAGCAGTAATAATCACAGCAGTGCAATAATGTTACTAGGGTTATACAATTATAATCAACCATTAGTGTTAAGAGGAGAGCTTAACTTGAATGCACACTAACCACTATGATAGAACGTGGTAAAGGCTAACAGACTGAGAAGTCCCTATAGCAGAGTGGATGGGTTTGGAGTGAAACAGATTTGGGTTCAAATCCTGGCCCAGTCAGTTAACAGCTGTGCTACTTTGAGCAAGTTATTCATCTTCTTTGGGCTTTTATAAATATAGTAGACTGTCTGGAACACTGGTGACTTGCCTAGTGGTGGTCATGGTAGTAGTAAGTGATATTATTACTACATTGTATTTTTATTTTAAGTCCCTTCATTGCCTGCTCTGATGTTTTATTAAAAAAACTAGAGGCCCGGTGCATGAAATTCATGCACAGGGTTGCGGGGGTGTGGTCCTCAGCCCGGCCTTCACCATCTCCAATCTGGGACCCCTCAGACATCCCTCTCACAATCCGAGATCGCTGGCTCCTAACCACTCACCTGCCTGACTGCCTGATCACCTCTAACCACCTCTGCCTGATGGCCTGATCGCCCCTAACTGCTCCCTGCCTGCCTGATTGCCCTTAACTGCCTCTGCCTGTCAGCCTGATCACCCCTAACCACCTCTGCCTGATGGCCTGGTTGCCCCTAACCACCCTCCCCTACCAGCCTGGCTGCCCCTAATTGCTCTCCCCTGCTGGCCTGGTCACCCCTAACTGCCCTCTCCTGCTGGCCTGATTGCCCCTAACTGCCTCTGCCTTGGCCCCTACCACCATGGCTTTGTCCAGAAGGACGTCCAGATGGATGTCTGGAAGAGATGTGGTCTAATTAGCATATTACTCTTGTATTAGTATAGATATTAACACAGGATTAATGCCTTATTGGGGTCTCTTTCAGCTGTAGGGTTGTAATATTCCTACCCTGAAATACAGAGTATGCAAACATAGGAGGGATATTAAGTCCATAGGTTGGGGTTGGCATTTGGAGATGGTTAGAGCTCTCAGGAAGAGCATATCTGCCTTGACAGTAGTCATAGCTCAGCCCCAGACCCTCATAAAATCAGGGGTCAAGTCACCCAGCAAATGTACGATTCATTTTACATCCCACATGTCCAGGTTGTCTGGTTCATATGTATATAGAGAGTCAGGCTTCCTTCCAGGTTTTGTACAACAGAGTTGGGGCAGATAACTGCTCTGCTGTCCACTCAGTCAAGAAACACAGTTGTTTGATAGTACTTTCCCTCTCAAATAGAATCTTTGTGTGAATTGAAAAAAAAAAAGGAAAAGAACAGAGATACTAGAAAATTTAAGATAGTATGTGGTTCAGATTTGTGGTTCTCATTTCATTTCTATGAGACAGTGCCAGTTTATAGCATATATTTGGGGGTAGGGTGGGTGCATGTTCCACTTTATTAAGTATTACCTAATGTTGCTTGGCCGGTGTGGCTCAGTGGAGGCCAGGAGGTCATGGTTTAATTCCCAGTCTGGGCACATGCTGGGGTTAGGGGATTGATCCCCAGTAGGGGATGTACAGGAGGCAGCCCCATCAATAATTCTCTCTCATCATTGATGTTTCTATTTCTTTCTCCCTCTCCCTTCCTCCCTGAAATCAATAACACACACACACACACACACACACACACATATATATATACTAGAGGCTCAGTGCACAAAATTCATGCACAGATAGGGTCTCTAGGCCTGGCCGGCAATCAGGGCCAATCGGCAGGGCGATCGGGGGGCCCCCCCTGGTACCCACCTTGGCTGGCCTGTGGCCTGCGGGCTGGGGGCAACTCCTGCATTAAGTGTCTGCCCCCTGGTGATCAGTGCATGTCATAGTGACTGGTTGTTCTGCTGGTCATTCTGCCGTTCAGTCAATTTGCATAGTAAGCTTTTATTATATAGGATATATATATATATCTCCTATTTTTTAAATATATATTTAAAAAATACATTACCTAATGTTTGCCTAATGTTTGGGTCTTTATAAATATAGTAGGATAATAACAACATTTATTCCACTCAGCAGTGTATATAGGCCTATGCCATATAGTTGTAAAGAGATAGTCGGACCTGAGATGCCACCAGCCTTACAATCCTCAGCCACCCATTTTCATCCATCTATCCTTCCATACACATATACATATGTATATTTTTTTACCATTTCTATTGGTAACCAATTATTTTTTCTCTCTGTTAACAGAGTGAATTACATTAATAGAATATCTAATGTTAAGTCATTTTTGCATTTGTGGGATAATCATCTTCGGTTTGCTTATATTTTGTTAGGCGTTTTTAAAAAATTCTGTTATAAACATGATCAATCTGTAATATTTTGCTTTATCCTGTCCTTTTCTAGTTTTGATATCAAAGTTTCACTAGTCTAATAGGTGCAAAATGTTTCCTCTTTTTTTTTATTCTCTGTAAGAGTTTGTATAAATTCAGAAACACACCTAATCTGTTCAGAATTTGGATTTGGATTTACAACTGCCTGGGACTGGTGATTGATTGATTTATTGATTGGTAATGGTTGTGACTACTTTAGATACTTCATATGAGTGGAAGCATACTAGTACAGTATCTGTGTGTGTGTGAGTGTGTGTGTGTGTGTGTGCGTGCACACTCAAATGGCTTATTTTGTTTACATATGTCTTTGAGATTTATCCATGTTGACACATATGACAATATTTCCTTCTTTTTTAAAGGCTGCATGCTATTCCTTTGTATTTATATACCACAATTACTTTATCCATTCATCTGTTGATGGGCATTTGGGCTGCCTCTACCACTTGGCTATTGTGAATAGTACTGAAAATATATTTTTATTGATTTCAGAGAGGAAGGGAGAGGGAGAGAGAGATAGAAACATCAATGATGAGACAACCATTGATGGGTTGCCTCTTGCATGCCCCCCACTGGGGATCGATCCCACAACCTGGGCATGTACCCTGATTGGGGAATTGAACTGTGACATTTTGGTTCATAGGTCGATACTCAACCAATGGCTGGGCTCACTGTGGTTTTGATAGTTGCATTCTCCTTATGATTAGTGGTGTTGGGCATCTTTTCAGATGCTGTTGGCCATTTGTATGTTTTCTTTGGGGAAGTGTCCAGTCAAGTTCTTTGCCCATATTTTTCATTGGGTTACTTTTGTTGTTGAGTTGTAGAAGTTCATTATATAGTCTGGATATTAACCCCTCATCAAATATATAATTTGAAAGTATTTCCTCTCATTATGCAGTTGCTTTTTCACTCTGTTGATTGTTTGATAAGCAGAAGTTTTTTAAGTTTGATTTAATTCCATTTGTCTGCTTTTGTCCTTTTTGCCTGTGCTTTTGATGACATGCTCAAGAAATCATTACCAAATCCAATGTCCTAAAGTTTTCCTCTTATGTCTTCTTCTAGTAGTTTTATAGTTGTAGGCATTATTGCAAGTCATTAACCTATGTTGAGTCATTTTTTTTGTATATGGTGTAGGGTAAGGGTCCAACTTCATGCTTTTGCAAGTAGATATTCAGTTATCCCAGCTACTTGTTTTGAATAGACTGTCCTTTTCTCATTGTGTGGTCTTGGCACCCTTGTTGAAAATTATTTGGCCATTTAAGCAAGGGTTTATTTCTGGACTATCTATTATTTCTGTTGGTTCATATATCTTATATATCTTTCTTTATGCCAGTACACACCATTTTGCTTACTGATGCTTTGTAGTATATTTTAAAATAAGGAAGTGTGAAGCCTCCAAGTTTGCTCTTTATTTTCTAGGTTGCTCTGGTTACTCAGGTTCCTTGAGATTCCATATGAATTTTAGGTTTTTTTTTCTTATTAAAAAAAGTTACTGGGATTTTGATAGGGATTGTATTGAATCTATACATCACTTTGGATAATAGAAATATTTCAATTGTATTACATCCTCCAATCATTAGCATGGAATGTCTTTCCATTTATTTGTATTTTCTTTAATCTTTTGAAGCAATATTTTGTCTTTCAGTGAACAAGTCTTTTACCTTCTTAGTTATGTAATTTATCCTTTTTGATATTACAATATATGGGATTATTTTCTTAATTACTTTTTGCATTGGTCAATTTTATTGTATAGATATATAACTGATTTTTGAATGTAGATTTTGTGTTCTGCAATTTGCTGAATTAACTTATTAGTTGTAACATTTTTTTGTGGAATCTTTAAGACTTTCTACATGTAGAAATTTATCTATTTCTTCTAGGCTATTCATTACTTTGATATAGATACTTGTGCATAGTAGTTCCTTATAGTCCTTTTAATTTCCAGACATTTCTAATTTTACTTATTGGAGTCTTCTGTTATTTTCTTTTTAATATATTTTATTGATTTTTTACAGAGAGGAAGGGAGAGAGATAGAGAGTTAGAAACATCGATGAGAGAGAAACATCGATCAGCTGCCTCCCGCACATCTCCCACTGGGGATGTGCCCGCAACCCAGGTACATGCCCTTGACCGGAATCGAACCTGGGACCTTTCAGTCCGCAGGCCAACGCTCTATCCACTGAGCCAAACCGGTTTCGGCTATTTTCTTAGTCTAGCTAAGGGTTTGTCAATTTTGTTGATCTTCTTAAAAAAACCCATGACTCTCTTGCTTTTGTTTATTTTTCTTTTGTTTTTCTACTGTCTATTTTGTTTATTTCTGCTTTAAATGTAACTCTAACTTTTGGTTTAGTTCGTTCTTTTTCTAGTCCCTTGAGATGTAAAGTTAAGTTGTTGATTTAATTTGTTTCTTTGATTGGGTCATGTTTCCTTATTTCTTTGCATGCTTCTTATCTTCTGTTGGGATTTTGGCATTTGGAAACCCAGCCATACAGGAAAAAATTATATATATATATATATATATATATATATATATATATATATATATATATTTGTTGATTTTAGAGAGGGAAGGAGAGGGAGAGATAGAAATACCAATGATGAGAATCATTGATTGGCTACCTCCTACACACCCCACTTTGGGGATCTAGTTCACAACCCGGGCATGTGCCATGACGGGGAATTGACCTGTGAATTCCTGGTTCATAGGTCGACACTCAACCATTGAGCCACACCAGCAAGGCAGGAAAAACTTTTTTAGATCAGGCTGACTAGAGATTCTGGACACGTCTTAAGCCTTTCCTGGGGCTGCATTCTCTCTGGGAAGGTGTTTGTGATGTCCCAATTGAAGTTTGCCTGTTTCTATTCAGGAGCTCTCCCTGGTGTCTATCTGTGGTACTGCAGAATTTGGTGACTGTTAATTGCCTTTGTTCTTAGTAGCTATCCTGGTGCCCTATTCCTATCAGCACTTACGTTCAGGCAAGACAGAAACCAAGCCCTCAGGCAGCTTCTGGAAAGGTCAGAATGTTAGTTATACATCCCACTCTTCTGTTTCTCTCCCCAGGGAGCTATGATTTTTTTTTTTTTTTTTAAACTAGGCTTCAATGCAGTTGGTTTCAAGCTCAGTGGGATACAGAAACCTCTTAACTGATTTCCTGATTCCTTAACAAAGGTATTTGTTTCTTGTATTGTTGTTAAGTCAGAATCTCTAGTTCGGGGCTTTTTATTCTTAATCTTGATGACATCACTCCAGGGAAGTTTCTTTAGTAAAGATTTGCGTGTAGTAGATGCTATCAGGTTGCATTGACCTTTGTTTGCTCTTGAATGAATGTTAAACAGTGTGTTGCATTCTAGGTTGAGATTTTTTCTCAACTCTTCAAAGATAGCATTCTTCTCTCCGCGTCTAATGTTGCTGTTAAGAAGTTGGTTTATTTGAAAATCTTTAGTAGGTGATCTCTCTCTGGCTGTATTTAAGTTTTGCTGTCTTTTTTGCTGTTTCTGAATTTTACTGCAATGTGTCTAGATGTGGAGTTATTGATTTACCAAGACATATTTACTGTGCTTTCTCAATATGAAAATTCATAGTTTTTATCAATTCTGAAAAAGTCTCAGTCAATTAATATTTTGAATAATGCATGTACTCCAATCTTTTTTTTAAAAATATATTTTATTGATTTTTTACAGAGAGGAAGGGAGAGGGATAGAGAGTCAGAAACATCGATGAGAGAGGAACATCACTCAGCTGTCTCCTGCACACCCCCCACTGGGGATGTGCCCGCAACCAAGGTACACGCCCTTGACCAGAATCGAACCCGGGACCCCCGAGTCCGCAGGCCGATGCTCTATCCACTGAGCCAAACCGGCCAGGGCATCCAGTCTTTATTGTCTTTTGCAAGGATGCTAGAATTTGTATTCTATCTTCTAGATTACTTTAATTGTCATACATATTTTCATCACTTTTTGTCTTTATGTTTCATTATGAGAAAATTATTCAGATCTATCATGTCTATCAATTTAGCAGTGCCTAATTGGCTGTTGTTATGCCCAGATTTCAAGATCCCCAAGAAAACCACACCAGGGAGCCAGTCCGATGCAAAAGCAGAGGGTCCTTTATTGAGCTAGCTAACTCGACCCTGCCTCCCGGCTGACGCAGTGACCGGAAGCCGAGTGTCCCCACCGTGGGAAAAACAGGGTTTTAATAGGGGGTGGAGTGAGGGGAGGGGAGCTGACTGTGGGCCCTGCCAATTGGCCAGGCGCCAGTCGGGTCTTCTTACACAGGATGTGGTCATCTCTATGGCGCACACGTCCCTTGATTGTCATTGGTTAGTTTAAAGAAATCCCGGGCGTGGCCAGCAGGGGCCTGGGCTTCCGGGAAGAAGGTACTCTCCTGAGCACATGGCGGCTGCCCCAACATGGAGGGTACGGGGCAAGATGGAGGGCATAGCCCTCGCCCTTTCAGCTGTTAAACCCATCTATTGAGCTTTTAAATTTTAATGCTTATTGAACATATAGGAATTCTAGTTGATTATAAAATGAACCTGGAACTTGATAACAGTCTCTTGTTTCTCAACCATATTTTCAATATATTTTTTCAAAGTACTGCTTTTTTTTTTTAAATATATTTTATTGATTTTTACAGAGAGGAAGGGAGAGAGATAGAGAGTCAGAAACATCGATGAGAGAGAAACATCGATCAGCCACCTCCTGCACATCCCTCACCAGGGATGTGCCCGCAACCCAGGTACATGCCCTTGACCGGAATCGAACCTGGGACCTTTCAGTCCACAGGCCGACGCTCTCTCCACTGAGCCAAACCGGTTTCGGCCAAGGTACTGCTTTTTAAGTGTGATATCTGATAATATCAACACCTAAACTCCTTGAGAATCCAATATGGCTGTTTGCTTCCCCCTGTCCCCCCCCCCCCCCATCAATTCTTGATGTGGGACTTACTTTCTCATGATTTATAGTTTTGGAATATGAGTGAATATTTGGTTGGTAATCTATGATTGCCCAGCAAAACCTAAGGTGTAGTTACCTTTCTAATACAGGTATTTTTTTTTTTTTTCTGGAATAAGATTCTGGGATGTTATCAATCCAGGGCCACTTTAAGTTAATTTCTTAGTTTGGGGTTTCCCCATCCTCAGAGATAGTATAATTTCAAACCTCAAACCTGTTTGACAGTAGGCCCTTACTCTCTTTCTCCATTTTTCAGGTCAACTTAGTCACAACTGTCCCACTAGAGAAATACTCCCACTACATCCTTCTCTTTATAGCAATCCATTATTCCCCATAGGTTCAATACCTTGATCTGCTCACATCACATATCAGTCAACCTGAGCAGCCATGAATGATCACTGGACATTTAAAGGTTCACAGTAACAAGGAGGGAGCCAAAGGTCACATTCAGCCTCAGATACTTTGTTAGAGAAGCATGTATTTCCACCTGAATGTCTTCAAATGTTCATTAGTTCATTAGCATAAAAATTAACTGAGTGTCTTTTAAGTGCCAGATACTACTCTGGGCATTGAGTAGTCAGTCATGAAATAAAAAGATGAAGCAAGCAAATAAACAAAAGACCCATGGGCTTTATATTCTAGAGGAAGAAGGCCTTTCTGTTATCAGTGCAATCAGGGATAAGCTTTTCCATTCAAAATGTAAATGATTCTCCCTGGAATCCAGCGTGAATGGTGGATAGAGGTAACCAGACATCACTTAACGGGCAGGGGGCAGTGTTCCTCTCTGTTTTAGGGACATAAGCTCTGTCATCTGGCCCTGCCATGAAGCACTCACTTCTCAGCCTTCAATCAGAAAATGGATGGATTCTACAAAAAATGTTTAGAAAAGTTTTTTACCTCCCCCCCACCCCCAGAGATAAGAAAAAAATATCAGTTCAGTCCAGTATATAGCTAACAAAGGGCTGCTTACACCATCAGGATTTACTTTTCTGATCCATTGTCTGGAACAGATATGGCCAAGTTTAAGTGGATAAGAGTCATCTGAGGAATCATTTACTTCCCCCAGTTGCTTAGTCTTATGACCCACTTAGTGGGCAATTACATTTGAGATGAAAAATGCAACCTGAGCCAGAAAAGCTAGATCTGTGGTATTGGGCCAAAGAGCAAGCTTCTTTGTGGAGCTGAGATCGGTTGTGACTTACATTAGTGATTTGTGTAAAAGCCAGCTGACATCCAGGGGCCACACCGAATTCCTGGGCCATCCTCAAGGCTGCCAAGCTGAGGGAGAGACCCAGCAGCCGTGCCTTCCTGGGGCAGAATCCAGGCTTGCTTTTGCTAAGGTAACTCATTGAGTTTTTGTTTTGTTTTGAAGATTGAGAAGACCAAAGAGATACACCATCAATTCCAAACATTTTTGAGTGAAATAAGCAAACCCAATAATAATTATGAGCTGAAAATAGCCAACAGGCTATTTGGAGAGAAGACATACCTTTTCCTTCAAGTAAGTTTTGCTGTGTCCACCACTTCTGTGAGTGGTATTCATGAATGGCCAATGGCTCTGTTAGGACTGTGGGTCCTGATGGCATGCTGCCTACATTGACTGCCTTGCTTGGCCCAGATCACCTGGCACCCCCCCTGTCTATTTTTCAGACATCCTGGACCCTTGAGAGCTCCTTTGTAATCTTGGCAGTTTAAATCTGATTTTTGCTTTAACCCTATTACACCTGCATAAAAGGTGCATGGAAGTACTCAAAGTGATGTGCCCCAAACCCTGCTTAGAATATTAGTGATCTTGAACTTATTTAGAGATGTTGGCAATAGATAAATTGAATTTCAAACTCTTTCTATTCCTTCCCTGTTTCTCCTAAAGAAATACTTAGATTATGTTGAAAAATATTATCATGCTTCTCTGGAACCTGTTGATTTTGTAAATGCAGCAGATGAAAGTCGAAAGAAGATTAATTCCTGGGTTGAAAGCCAAACACATGGTAGAGTATGGATGGGTCGTTCATCATAAAAACGCTTCTTGAGTGCCCACTGTGAGTGAAGCCCTGTGGTTGGCACTGCGTGGGGGACCAGGGTGGACAAGCTTTGGGAGGGGACTTGGTATGGGCTTTACAGGGCTGGAAAGGCAGGCCTGAGCATGAGGGGTGGGAGGAGGCACTGCAAATTGTAGAGAAAGCCAAGGAGAACCAGAGGGGATCATAGAGCCAATTTCATGGAAACACTTAGTGGGGAATTATTTACACCTGGTTGTGGTTCATAATATCTTTGCGGGTCCTGAAACTGGGTCATGTCTGTCTTGGGTTCACATTCTTTCCTTTATATCAGAGCCTTTCTGAGTCTGGGTCTTTGAGTGGAAATATAGGGGGTTTCCTTTCTCATTATCAAGTGAGAAACATTTCAGCTCTTCCATCAAGACCTGCTTTTGTGTCCAGCCATGTGGCTCAGTTGGTTGGAGCATCATCCCATAAGTGGTTTAAGGTTTGATTACTGTTCAGGGCACTTATTTAGGTTGTGGGTTCAATTCCCGGTTGGGGCACATACAGGAGGCAACAGGTTGGTCTCTCTCTCTCTCTCTCTCTCTCTCTCTCTCTCTCTCTCTCTCTCCTTCTCTGTCTAAAATCAGTAAATATATCCTCTGGTGGTAACTATATCAAGTGGGTAAAAGTAATAATAGCTAACATTTACTGAGTTCTTATTGTGAGCCAGACAGTGATCTAAGTGATGTGCACACATTAGATCATTTACTCTTTTCAACAACCCTATGAAGCAGTTTCATTCCTGTTTTACTCATTTGGAAACTGAGGCACAGAGAGCTTAAATAACTTGCCCGTAATTCCTAAACTGGTAAGAGGCAAAACTGAATAGGCAATCTGATCCCAGAGCCTAAACTCGTTAACCCTCATACCTCAATCCATCCAATGGGATAAATAGGCGGGGGACAGTGAGAACTTCCAGCGAACCTCTTGTCTGCAGAGCCTGCAGGTGCTGACCGGGCTGAGGTTTTTATTATTTGTTTTTGTTAATCCTCACCAGAGGACATTTTTTCCATTGATTTTTCTAGGGAGAGTAGAAATGAGGGGAAAGACAGAGTGAGAGAAACATCAAAGTGAGAGAGACACATTGATTGGTTGCCTCTGGCATGTGCCCTGAGAGGGAGAGGGATGGGGATTGAGCCTGCAACTGAGGTATATGCCCTTGACCGGGAATTGAACCCGAGACCCTTTACTGCACTGATGTGAGCTGATGCTCTAACCATTGAGTTAAACTAGTTAGGGCCTGGCTGAGGTTTTTAATGACCAGTCAAGTCCCCCTGCATCGTATCTGCCATGCATATCACTAATAATTTCAAAGATGGGCCAAGTTTGTTGTTGTTTGTTTGCAGAAAACATCAAGGACCTGTTTCCTGATGCCACTCTAAGCAGCACCACGAAGCTGGTGCTGGTGAACATTGTGCATTTTAAAGGGCAATGGGACAGGGAGTTTAAGAAAGAACATACCAAGGAGGAGGAATTTTGGCTGGATAAGGTATGGCTCTTTAACTATTGATGTGCTTACACATGGAATGTACATTCTGAAGTCATATTTCCATCAACGTACAGGGTGGACAGACAATGCTGATTTGGGGGTCTGAGCGTTAGCACTGTTTTAGGTGGAGAGCATCATTTCGGTGAGCTCGCCTGGTCGTCTCATGCCTCTTTGGACACTGGGTGCTCTGTGAATTTGTTACAGAACACAAGTAAACCTGTGCAGATGATGACACAGCGTGACTCCTTCAGCTTCACTCTCCTGAAGGACCTGCAGGCCCAAATTCTGGGGATTCCATATAAAAACAGTGACCTAAGCATGTTCGTGTTGCTGCCCAATGACATCGATGGTCTGGAGAAGGTAAAACCTTGCACCTCCCCATTCTTGCTTTCATTTCTGGGGGCTCTGCATCTCAGAGCTTACTCTTGGTGAGCCTGGAAGCGGGGCTTCTGATTGGGAGCTGGTGTCTGGCGGTGCCCAGTGGAAACTATTTCTGCCTCTGTGCAGGATGTCTAATGTGGAGCGATAGATGACATCAGGTGTATTGAGAATGACCAACACTAAAATATTTGGGAATGAGCCAAAATAAACATTTAAGGGACTGTAAAGATCACCCAGTATTCTGAGAAATGGTTGATTATGTAGTCACTTCTTTTCCAGAAAAAAAATCACATGTGCACATATCCAGCAAATTTTGCATGCCATTCAGACCTTCTGAATTTTTTTTAGACCTCCAATTTTTAAAGGAGTTTTAGGTTTACAACAAACAGAAAAAGTTACACACACCTCCTGTCCCAAACATGCGTACCTCCCACATAATCAACACCACTTATCAGGAAAAAAAAATGGTTCTTTTTTTTTTAACCAAGGATGATCTTATATACAGTAATCACCCAAAGTCCATCAGACCCTTAATCTTGAACTCCTTAATGTATTCCTAACCACTTTGCTGTTAAAATATTGATGTGGCTAGTATCCTGTGTTTCTGAAATCAGAAAGGCTTTGCTTCACATCCCTATATCTCTATTTAGTAGCATTATGTCCTTTGAAGCTATTTAACTTCCTTGAACCTCAATATTTTTCCATCTATAAAACGGGCTTCATAGTTTTTAATGTGTAGTATTGTAATCATTAGTGACCATACTCTATCTTTGTCTTTATCTCTATCTCCCTCTCTGTCTCTATCTCTATCTCTATCTCTCTCTAACAAGCACAGAACAGCAAGTGAATCAATGGCTAATAGTATTTATTATACATTGGAAATTATTTGGGACAGCAAAATGGCAATATATTTAAGAGCTTTAAGAATTTTGTTACTCTAACTGAAAAATTCCAGTTGTGGAAATTATTCTAGGGAAATAATTCAGAAGAAAAAAATTGCCCTTCTGAGTCAAATTTGTAGTTTCTGCATTAAATACATTAGGATACCTAACTTGAAATTCATAATAATAATTATATTTGTATCTACAGAATCTATCATCTGTTAAAATGCATGATTACATACTAGTTACTTGTAAAGTGAATGAATAGGTTAATGTTGGGTAAAATGTATCAATTTGATGAAAATATCTACCAGCTTGAAGATATGTTGATGAGTTATGCAGTATAAAATGGACATTCACTGTGACTGAATTAATATTTATATGTAAATATGTATTATATATTTATAATAAACATCATATTAGTCACCAATTAATATATTATATAAATTATAATTTGCTTATTATATAAACATATTTTATCTTTAAAATTATATGTAATATGTACGCATACAAAGACACTAGGGAAATAGTAAGAAATTGCATTTCTCATTTTTAAAAATTCACAAAATGCTATTGACTTTTCATATATGCACAGAAAATTTAAATAGATAAATATAAGACAAGTGCCTGCTATATGAAGACAACAGTCTAGCAAAATGAAATTTCTACTTTTGTTACTAAAATTAATGATTTCTGACCGATACAAATAAGTGTTAAACTGTTTCAAATAATAAATTGATTATTATTGATAATCATGCCATTCTCCCCCCTTTTTTCCTTAATAGATTATAAATGAAGTAAGTCCTGAGAAATTAGTAGAGTGGACTAACCCAGGGCAGATGAAGGAAAAGACTGTGGATTTGCACTTGCCCCGATTTGAGGTGGAAGATAGTTATGATCTGGAGGCGGCGCTGGGCGCCATGGGGCTAGGGGATGCCTTCAGTGAGCTGGAGGCTGACTATTCAGGGATGTCCCCACGTTCAGGGCTGCATGCCCAGAAGTTTCTGCACGGGTCCTTTGTGGTGGTGACTGAGGAAGGTACCGAGGCTGCAGCAGGCACCGGGATGGGCTTTGCGGTCACATCAGTGCCCAGTTATGAAACTTTTCACTGCAATCATCCCTTCCTGTTCTTCATCCGGCACAACGAGTCCAACAGTGTCCTCTTCTTTGGCAAATTTTCCTCTCCTTAGGCCAGTCACTGGCTTGGCAGAAAACCAGTGTTGGAGTATTAATATGACTATGGTAGTAGCCCATTTTTTGAAGAAATTTGATTTTCTTGCTTGCATTTCAATCCAACCCTCAAAATGTATGATTTTAGTGACCGCACTGGGTGTGTGTGTTTATAATTTTCTTTAAAAGTGAAATGTCCTTTTGTTTGTGTCATGTATAAAGTGAGTTAAATCAAGGCTTATAAATATGCTGTTGATTTCTTCTAAAAGTAAATGAACGACTTGTAGTTTTATGCACTAATGAAAAAAAACTGTCTTGTCAGTAAAGACTATGGATTAATGATTTTGGGAGTCCCTCCAGCTCTAATATTTTGAAAGATTATAATAAAAAGTGAAATAAAACAGTAGTTTACTCAATTCATGTGCTACCTTTGTCTTTCTCAGCTATTAGTGTGGCAAACTGCATACAGGAAAAAAGAATTTAGAAACACATCAGCCAACATAAATTAAAACTCAAAAGCCAGGATAAAGTGAAACAATATATCAGGCAGAGAGGATGCCCATATTTTCACCCTCCATTCTAACAGAGCATATTATTCATTGTCAATTGCATAAATATCTTGATATTATAAATAAAGCCAATGTGGTCATAAAATAAGATAGATTCATTTTAATCCTAGAACTTGACTGTTGATAAAGTATGCACACCTGTGCAAATACCACCACACCCAACATACAGGATATTTCCATCATTCCCCAGGTTCCCTTGTCTGTTTCCCTGTCAACCACCCCATACAGCCTCAGCTCACACAACTGCTGGCCTGCCTGTCTTCAATCATTACAGGGTGTATTTGTCATTTCTAGGGTTTCATTCAAGTGGATTCATATCATATGTTCTCTTTTGTGTCTGGCTTCTTTTGCTGAGCACTGAGATAACCCATGTTGTTGGAATACCAGTAGTTCATTACTTCTTATGGACAAACAGTATTCCATTGTATGGGTAAACCCACATTTTGTTTACCTATTTACCCACTGGGCATTTATGTTGCTTCCAGTGTTTAGCCACTATGCATAATGCTAGGATGCACATTTGTGTGCATAACTCTTTGTGTGGGCATATGCTTTCATTTTTCTTGGGTAGACACCTGTGAGTGAAAATGCTGAGACATATGGTATATACAATATATGTTTAAATTTATAAGAAACTGTCAAAATATTCTCCAAAGTGGTTGTACCATTTTCCACTCTTATGAGCAATGTTTGAGTATTCCAGTTGCTCTGGATCCTCACCAGTGGTTGGAGTGGTCAGAGTTCTTCATTATACCCATTCTAGTGGGTGTGAAGGTGGCATCTCATTGTGGTTTTAATTTATGCATTTCCCTTATGACTGATGATGTTGAGAATCTTTTCATGTGCATGTTGGCCATATGCATATCTTCTTTTGTAAAATGTCTATTCAATTTTGTACCCATTTTTATTAAATTGTTTTCTTATTATTGACTTGTAATTGCTTTTGCTATATTCTGAAAAAAACTGTCAGCTATATGAATTTAATTTTGCTGTCACTGATGGTGTCATTGAGCAATTTAAAATTTTCATGGAGTCCAATTCATTAATTTTTTTCACTTATGGTTTCTGTTTTTCTGTCTTATTTAAGGTATTTTTGCAAATCTCAAGTTTGCTGAGACTTTTTTCTATGCTTTCTTTTGGACTCTTATGGCATTAGCTTTTACATTTAGACCTATGATTTACTTTCAATTTTTGTGAAGTAAGGCTTGGGGCTCATTGTTTCTCATGTGGTCTTTCAGTTGTTCCAGCACCATTTGTTGAAAAGATTGTCCTTACCTCAATGACTTAATCACCCTGGAAACTTTATGTCACATGCATGTGTGGATTTGTTTCTGATCCTCTGTTCTTCTACTGATCTAAATGTTTATCATGTCAATATCTCCCCATCCCTGAACACATTCTTTCCTGAGATTTGATTTGTCTAAAAATATAACCACTCAGGCTTCCATATGACTAGTATTGGCATGGTATGCTTTTTTCTATCCTTCGATTTTAATTTAGATGTACCCTTATACTTAAAGGAAGTTTTAATTTTTAAATTAAATTGATTTGGGTGACATTGGGTAATAAGATTATATAGATTTCAAGTGTACACTTTTATGATAGATCATCTGAATATTGCATTAAAAACAGACATCATATAGTGACATGTTGTGATCATCCCATGGAGATAGAATGGAGTCTCCTTATTCTCACACAAAAAAATTGGTTGAACATTGAGAATGATGATACCACACATGCACCAAGAAAGTATGAAGAGATTGATTACTTACGTAATGAGGCTTTCTGGGGAGAGCATTGCAGGGTCCCTGGCTTAGGAGACCCAGGAGGGCTTTTATTGGGTTAGGATTTGGGTATGGGTGAGGGTTCCTGTGCCTGGTTAAGATGTGACTGCTTGGTTTGCACCTCCTGCAGGTGCCAAGGGAGGGAGCTCAAGGGCTTTCTTGCCAGCTGTCCTAAAGAGGCTCTCTTGAACACCCTAGAACCTGTGTGGTGAAGACTGGGTATAAATTCCCTCTGTATCTGAGGCTCCCAGGGGTTCTATACCCTGGCGCTACCCAGACAGCCTTCAGCACTTGTCTGGAGCCCTGTTTCCCTCCCATGTTCTGCCCTAGGCAAGTCAGTGATGGCGTCCTGTCTCTTCTTGAAGGCACTTGTCTTTCCTTAGATTTCAGGCTGGAGGGCGGCCTTACAACTTTCTGATGGGCTTAAGAATTTGTGTATTATCCAGATTTTTATTCCCCCCACCCTCTGTCATGGTGGAGCAGCACTCTTTCCAGCTTTCTCCATCACAGCAGAAACTGGAAGACTGTGATTATGGGTGAATCATGCCCTCTGGGTTCCTGAGTCAGGTCAGGCCCAGGAAGCTTTCTGCTGCTAACCCAGAGTGCCGACCCATGCCAATTATTTAAAGATAAATGTTGCTATTTTCTGTATTGAGGGAGAGGCTCTTTCCTGTGAGAAATGGATTTTCGCTGAGACTCTGAAATCTGCTGCTCCTGAGCCCTCTTACCAATGTCTTTGCTTTTCTCTTTACTTCCTCCAGGGCCTCCTGCTCAACCTCAGCTGTTTTCACCTTTGGCAGTTGTCGGGGAGGAACAAATCTTCCTCACCCTCAAGGTTCTTATAGCTGGTCTAATAATCAAATAGACATGAGGTAGATTAGCAAACAACCAAATCTGATACATACAAACCTATCGGATCCCTTTATATGCCAGTCAGAGACCCTGCATGCAGAAGAAGTTCAGAGACAGAAAGGGAACATGAGTGTATAAGACATCCTGAGCAAGGGTTGAGGTGGGGTGACTTGGGGGCTTTAAAGAGTCATTGCAGAATGATAAGAACAGATGCTTAGTAAATAAAAAAAAATTGTCCTGTTCTACAGACAGGTCAAAGATGCTAACTCTGATAATCTCCCTTTATGGGCAAGGCTCCTAATTCAAATTCTTCTAGGTAGTCAAGGGAGGGCAGAAGTTTCTCCTGACCCTGCAGTTACAGTTGCCCTTAGCTCATAATAATCCACATATTACAGAAGCACATTTTTGAGTGACTATCTCTGAACCCCCACACAGTCTTTATATGAATTATGAGACCATGAATTATACCTACCTTCTAACTTTACTGAGAAAGAAATTTACAGAGATCTTCTTCTTCTTCTTCTCCTTCTTCCTCTTCTTTTTCTCCTCCTCCTCCTCCTCCTCCTCCTCCTCCTCCTCCTCCTCCTCCTCCTCCTCCTCCTCCTCCTCCTCCTCCTCTTCCTCCTCCTCTTCTTCTTCTTCTTCTTCTTCTTCTTCTTCTTCTTCTTCTTCTTCTTCTTCTTCTTCTTCTTCTTCTTCTTCTTCTTCTCCTTCTTCTCCTTCTTCTTCTTCCTCCTTGTAGAAGAAGGAAAGAAGAAAAATACTGATATACAGAGCCATTCTCATGCTGGAAATTTCATTTAATTTTTTTCTTTTCCTTCATTGAAGGAGCAGGTTTTTCATGTACAACTTGATTTGTGAACTTAGGCAACAGGAAGGAGTTCCCAGGTATTAGTAGACATAATTTATGGTATGATTCCTTTTATGAACCAATACATTGACATCCTGAATTTGAAATATGTAAATTAGACACTTCTGGGTTTGTGACATTTTCTGCCCCTCCCAAACTATCCCACCAAATGCAGTCCTCCCAGAGTGAGATTTGTTCATACTTCTAACTATTGTATCTATATTTTCTGTCTCACCAGTCACTGCAGTCATCTTTGGACACTCAGCATCTAGATCAATGTCTGAAAACTCAAGTGCTCAAAAATCTGACTAATTTAATGTTCCTGTGCATTATAGGCAATGTTCTATCCACCAACTTATTGGAGGAGCAAGGAGTCAGCATCTAACAACAAGTTATCAATGAAGAATATAAAAGTGGAAATGTTAAATGCCCACATATCTGTTAGGCATGAACTTCAGTGTAGTCAGTACTGGGCTTGTTGATGACAGTCAAGGGTGAGTGTGTCTCGGAATGGATACCCCTAGGCCTGTGCTGTCAATGCTCTGGGAGGATAACAGATGGGTGTCTGAGTGGCAATGTGATATGTAACATTAACTTTATCAGCCCAAGCTGGGAAGGAAGCAAAGTGAAGAGTGACAGGTCTGGCCTTAACCAGTTTGGCTCAGTGGATAGAGCACTGGCCCTTGGACTGAAGGGTCCTGGGTTAGATTCTGGTCAAGGGCACACACCTTGGTTGTGGGTTCGATCCCCAGTGGAGGCATGCAGGAGGCAGCTGATCCATGATTCTCTCTCATCATTGATGTTTCTATCCCTCTCCCCCTCTTCCTTCCTCTCTGTAAAATCAATAAAAATGTATTTAAAAAAAAGAGTGACAGGTCTGGAATCAGGAAGTTAGAGTATCTATCCCAGCTCTTCCCTGACCTAACTGTGATTTCAAGGATGGCAATTAATTTTGTTGAAATTTTTTTTTTATTGCTTAAATGTAGAGAATTGTAAAAAAGGATCTCTACTAACACTTCTAACATTACATTGGTGACTACCCCTTATGAAATAGTCTGCTATCTAATTTTAATGAAAAATAATCCAGACATACAGAGGGAATAAGGTCAACCACTTTAGCAACAAAAACAAATTTGTTCTTGTCCATTTCTAAATCCTCTTCCTATGTGCCAGCTTCAGGGTTAAACAGAATATAAATCTGGGCTTTGGAAATAGTTTTATGGCCTACAGTAGTTAAGATCATCTTTCTGAACTTCCATTTCTTCATTTTAAAAATTGGTTTTATAAGAGTTTCTACTTTATTGAGCTGTTGTGAGGATAAATAGACTATGTGTTTATTAAAGAAACTGGAACATAGCATGCATCCAATTGATGTTGCCTGCTGTTTTCCTTGCCATTACCATCACATCACCACCATCACTACCCTCATCATTATCATTATCATCATCACCAGCAGCAATAGTAGCATCCTTTAACTTTGCTTGGAAACCAAATCATGGCCACCCTGTCCTTAGCCACCATATTAAAATCTGAGCTGTTATTTCATCAGTTCTAAAATATTAGTGGATTCCAGGTTAGAGAGGCATTTTTCTCAATGTTTGATTTATACCTCTATGTCAGTATTTGGAAGCCAATGTTCCAGGAAGCTATACACCAATGTGTCTATTAAGCCCATCAAGTGTACTCAAAAGTTCTGACTCACTAAGCTTACTCCAACTAATCCCTGGTTTTGACAATATTTAGTTCTGATCCTATATTTGTTATGCATTCTGCATCTCTAAGCAAATTTTGTCTCATTGCCACACCCCAACCTTTTCACTGCAAGAGGTGTGGCAGAATAACTGGTTCTAAAATGAACATCCTTTCCATTCATTTCTCTGGGGGTCAGCAGAAAGTCCCAGTACCTCTGAGCACTGGTCTAACTGCTGTATTTATGCAGATGTGTATTTGGTGGGTGAAGTATTGGGATAGAAAGGGTGACCTTCCTGGCAACACCATTTGTGCAATCCGGGACATGCTCTGGAGAACAAGAGTTCAATGCTATGATAGGCTTCATCAGCCCTGGGATGCAGAGCTCCAGGTTCCTGTGCAGTAGCTGCTTTGGTATTGCCTTCAAGGTCATTGATGTTCAACCCCTGGATAAACATGACTGCAGGGAATTGAAATGCAGACAACACTCTATTTGTCATGTGTAATTTATCTTGAATGAACTTCACTTGAGTCTGATCACTAACTTAGAGTGTATTAAAAATACAAGCTTTTTTTTTTTTTTTAAAAAAAAATTGTTAGACATAAAATATAGGTAAAAAAGTCCTCGTTAGAAAGGAAACAAATGCATTCTTAGTCTCCAATGAAGCATGAATCTTCTTAGGCAATATTTGGAGTATGAGTATTTCTGGTTTCTACCCATTAGGGCACATAATTATCAGGGACAGAGACTATGCAGCCGTTGATGTTAAGATTCTAAAATACAAGGGACTGACCCTGGGTTTCTGTGCTCTGGGATGGCCCTACCCTTTGGGGAATGACACACAAACAGTCACTTGGGAGGGCAGAACCTTTAGTGAGTTCTGGTCTCTGGGTCTACAACAAGATGTCTTCCTGCATTTCTGAGTTTGCCTCATTTATGAGACCCGTAAGTTTTGTAGATTTCTAGTTTTCTGACTGCCCACTAGGTATTTTATGGTTGATTTATAGGTGCTTACATGTGTATATTACATTCATACTGCTACTGTATTTCCAGACCTTGAATGATTCCTTGACCATCAACATCAGAGCGTTTGTTCCAAATGTTGGCCTGCTTGAGTGCTGAATTTGGTCCCACTATTCTGGCCTTTAGGATGCTAGATTTGTTTATTTATTTTTTGTCATTTTATATCTGAGACCTGCTGCCTTAGCCAGCATGGGGCATAGCATGTGCAGAATAATTATTAAATGACTTCTACTACACTACACATAGTAAGGCAATCTTGGATTTTTATAATGTCCTTTATAATAGAGATATAAGTGAGTTCTTATAGAAGAAACTAGTGGCCTGGTACATGAAAATTCATGCACTGGAGGGGGGGTCCCTCAGCTTGGCCTTCCCCCTCTCACAGTCTGGGAGCCCTCAGGGGTGGGAGGCAACCTGGCGATCAGGGGAAGGTGACGCCCCCATCATACCTCTGCTACTGCCACTGCTGGCATTGCAAGCCTCAGCTGGCCCTGCTTACCTGAGCCTCGGGTGGCCCTGGGCAGCTGAGCATCTGCCATCCGAGGCTTGCCTGTGCCTCAGGCCGGCCCTGGGTGACTGGGGGGCTGATGGGATTGGGAGACTCCGAAGGCAGTTGTGCCCCAGGGGGGGTGGTGGCTGAGGGGACTGGGAGCCGCCATCTTGTGGCTATGGGCGCCTCCATCTAGGGAGGGTGTGACAGTCAATTAGCATATTCCCTCTTTATTAGATAGGATAATAGGCTCCTGAGTGACTTAAAGAGAATGAGTCTATCATTCATTCATTTGTCACATAGTTGCTGATCCATGTGTGTACTCCAGATGTACAACGTAGATCATTTGGACAGAGCCCTGTAATGATGGAGCTGACAAGATTATACATCGAAGGTTTTCCCCAACAGAGGACAATATTATTTCATAAGGGAAGAGGGTATGTATCCTTTCATTTCAACATTGGCAGTTTGTGAGGCTTGGCTTTCATCTTTGACTAAGGAAAAGCAATAAGTAATATGACTAAATCACCATTTTATTGATAATGTATTTCATAAAATCAGAAATGTAGACATGTAAGGAAAAAATAGCACATGACATGATTCTTAGACAATGTACACAATTCAACATTGGATTGAAGTGTTACAGCAGATGTAAATAAATTTAAAGAAATGTAGGTGTAAGGCTAATACATTTGAATAGTAGATATAATTTTTGAAGCATAAAATGTGGTATTTCACATGTAGATGGTAGAGTATTGAAATATCTTTTTACCATTCCTTGAATATTTTATCCCAAAGGTAGAATTATCATGGGGAAATAATCTACATGTATTTGTAGAAAGAGAGAGACAAACATGCTCTTTCACCTATTACAGTCTTAGTGATGACTATGAGATTGGAAAGGAAAGCTAAAGAGAACCCATTTCCTGCAATCAAAGTACTGGAACAACTCTGTTACCCTCCCCCTAAAGCAGCAGCATGCTAATTGCACCTAAGGGGACAAGAATCTGCCAAAGAAGAGAATGCTATTGGTCTTGTTGTGCTTGATGAGGAACAGGAAGGGGTGATCACAATGGAACATTTCATAATTTGGTGCTGATGTGACAGAAATTCCTACGCCAGTAGCAGCTGCAGCCTCTGTACCCTCCTCTGTCACCTCCACAAAGGACTTGTGTAGGATTGCAGATATCACGAGACCCTGGCTTCCTGACATGCCCGAGAAGTCGGCATCCCGTGGACTGAAGGCGTCCACCATCCCCAGGGCTTTCATAGTGACCTGGAGGTTAAAGCTTTGTTCCACTTTGAACCGAGGTAAGTGAACATGCACATGACTCATGCTCATATTCCGTGAGCTCGTCCACTCTATTAATTTCTCCGAAGTGAGTTTGTCTTCAAGCTATAATGATGGAAAAAATAACAAATGGCATGATTCTCAGTGGACACTGAACACAATTGAGCATTGGATTAAAATGTTCCAGCACATATAAATACAGGAGATTGTTATATATAGTTTATAATAGATAGTAATATCTAAGTACATATTATATATAATAAACCTAATCATCTGTATTATATACAAAGCAATAGAACCATTAAATAAAATTATTTTGTAAAAGATGAAATATATACCTCCATTCTTAACTGCCTGTCCACTGTATGTTTACATTTTAAATAGTTCTCTTCTAGTTAATGTGTTTTTGTACAAAATTTTTTACAATTTATAGCATCCAACTTACTTTTATTCTTTTTTTGTTGCTTGACCTATTTGTAAACATCTCCACATAGCTATATCTTTCTTGAATCAAGTTTAAATTGTTATATACTGCCATTAAACTGATAGTCAATGTATATATCTTTTCATAATTAATATTTTTAAAGTATTTACGGGGTGTCAGCCCCTAAGCTAAACTATTGGCAATACAATGCTGCACCAATGTTCCCTGTTTTGAAATGTTCATTACTTTTAGACACTTTGGTCCAAATGCTTTTGCCTTGTTTAGACTAATTAGCAGAGGATAAGTTCCAGGACTGGGGCTCCTAATGTTATTGATAAGGAGGACTGCTGGGTAGGAGGAAAGAGAAAGTAAAGGCTATTCACATATCCCACCAGACTACTTTCCTGGAGGACTTCCCCTGCCAGTGTTGCCACAGTATATACTTTGAGTGTGGCAAGCTCACTGCAACTCTGGCAGCATCCTTTACTATTATAGGGATTGTATATGCCATTTTTGGAATGTCCTCAATATGTCAGGTATTGTTATTGATATTTTTTACACATTATCTTTAATCATTATAAAATGCTAAGAGGATAATTTCTCTTTTTTCTCTCTCACAGGAATGAGGGTCCAAATGACTTTGAGCTCTTAGGGATAGACTACTTCTAAACTGAAAAGTGAAAATCAAGATAAATCTATTTGTTTACTGTCCACAAACTCATTGTGAGTCAGTATGCAAAATAGTACCCATTGGTGCTTTAATTTGCTTGCTTTTGTTTCTGGGTGAACCTGCATATGTTTTTCCTACATCAAAGTGTCACCTACATCAAAGTCTTAGTTTTTGGTCTTCAAGTGAATAAATTGGAATATATCTGAGGTTCCTATGGTTGCAAAATAGTCCATCTGTGTGCCAAGGTATATGTATTTTTCCTGAACTGACATTCATGGTTTCATCAGAATGTTAATGGGACCTATGATCCTACAAACTTCTATATATTTTTCCATATCACACACACGTGATACTTAAGATATTATTTATTTTTTGGAACATGACCGAATGCTAGGTTCTCCTTAACACCTCTCCTTCAGGCTGTATTCATAGAAGAGACAAAGTATCTATTCTTGAACCCCTTCAGACATCACCCATGGGCTGTGAGCACCGCTTCCATAAACAGCCCACACAAGCATTGTACTACAAGGAAATTGGGCAATAGAAAGAAGAATTGTAGATACAAGGTTTTACCTGCTGAAGACCATCTATTTCATTTGGCAGCAACAACACCATGCTCAGATCTTTGTCTTTGTATGGTATTTCCAGGACCTTGGCTTGCATGTCCTCCAGTGAGGTGAACTTAAACATATTGCTTTGTTTCATCATCTGCACAACTTTGCTTGTATCCTGCAGTAAATTAGTGTGGCAAACAAATGCCAAGGGAGGCATAAGTTAAAAAAATAATATTATTGAGATAGAAAACACATCCTCTTTCCAAGAGATAATCTGGGACATTTGTGAGTTAGAGAGAAGAGTTTCTTTAAGGGTTCCTAACTAAATAAAGTAAAAAATAAAATAAGAAAGTGCAGCTGTGAGAAATTCTGTTCTCTAACCTGCAGTTGTACATTAATCAAATATGTGTTGAAATGGAACATTCTATGTCTAGCTACGTTGCATTATATAAGTAAAAAATAGACAATACCTTGTTCAGCCAAAATTGCCCCTGCTCAGTTTTTTTTGCATCAAATTTTTCATTCCACTGCCCCTTGAAATAGATGGCATTCACCAGAACCAGAATGGTGGAGCTGTCAAGAGAGCCTTTGGGAAAGAGATCCTTGATTTTTTCTGTAAAAGAAAGAAAAACAAAGGTCTATCATGAAAGGAACAAGTGGTTTGTCTGGAAGATGCTTTGAAAATTAAAGTGATCATTAGTTATTCATACAAGTCACCACTTTAGTGATTCCATGACCAAATAGTTGACAAGGTACAATCTTTCTTATATCACCAGCCTGATGGAGTTACCCCCATGGAGAAGACAACCCTTTTTATGATTAGGAAGGTTTTCAGATTCTCTGAGGGTGACTTCAGTCATCTCACACTGAATACTGATGAACTGATTTCATCTACTCTTTCAACAAATGCGTTTCCCCCCCTCCGTGCCTCCATCCCCCCTGGACTTCCCTCCTCCTTCCTTCCCTCTGTTCTTTCCTCCCTTACCATTCTCTTCTTTTCTTCCTTCTTCCCTTTTTTTCCCTTTTATTTCAAATTTAGGCTCATGACTCTGGGGAAATAGGGCCTGAACGTTCTTTAGAGCCAATGTCACGAGCTCTATAACCGGAAGCACATGCTCTATGTGGTCAGCTGCCATTCCCTGTGGTGTCCTCCTCTTCATTCCCCACTTTGAACTGCTGTTGGTCTAGTCTGGGCTGCAGGTGGGAGGGAGAATATAGCTCATAGAATGGAGGCTGTCAAACTCTGTGCTGTGGTTGGGGAAGAAGCTGTGGGTATGGTCAAGTGGGATAGGCAGGTGGCAAGAAGGGGGATTTACAGGAAAGTTGTTTGTTTCCCAGTTAACAAAGGATAAGGGATCCCTTTCTCATCTTTTCTCTTAGGGATCGTAATACAGAAGTTAAGTCTCTGATTTAAAGTAAAAGATGTGAACCTAAGATGGGGTCTGAGCAGAGAGTTGGGATCCACAAAGATGCTATCAGTCTCCAGCTGCATTTTCATGTAGCTGTTCCCCCGATCCCTCATGGGCTCCCCTTGTTTCTGTCCACATTTACTTGGACCATGCCACCATCCGCAGTGCCTTCCCCCAGACTCTCTGTGGACTCCCTATCCTGGTACCCCACGCAGTGTCAGCACAGGTTCATGCACAGCGGAGACTCACGGTGACTTTTCATGGGTGACCCTCTCATACTGTACCATTCGTTTGGCTTTCCACCCAGGAATTAATCATCTTTCGGGTTTCTTCTGCAGCATTTGCAAAATCAGCAGATTCCACACTGGCTAGGTAGAATTTCTTAACATTATCCAAGTATTCCTTTGATGTGGGAAGGAAGAAAGGAGGAATTAAGAGTAATTTATCAGTAACTATGTATTCCCAAGTTAAATTATGTTTTATCATGACCAACTATAGTACATCAGCTCATCCCTAAACCCACACTTTACTGGTGGGTTGTCAGGCTCGGGGACACTCCAGTGGACAGAACTGTGGTGAGGGATCTTGACTGACATACCATGAATAAATGATCCCCAGGTGGGTCAGCCAAGCGCATGTGACTCAATTTCCCCAATTGGGTCATTGGGGATAGAGGACCCAAGAGGCAGGCGACAGGTGTGGCAGATCCATGAGACTCACCTGAAAAAACGGAAACTTCTTATCTCCATAGAGCCTGTTGGCAAGGCTCAGCTTGTAGGCATCAGTGGGCTTATTTAACTCAGTCAGAAGCTTTTGAAATTGCTGGTGCACGTTTCCTGACTCTTCAACCTTCAAACATCAAAAACGAGCTCGCTGAATTCTCTGTCGTTGTAAATACTAAACCATGTACTTAAGTCTGTTAGATCCATATGTAACGTTTGGCAGCCCCATAGATGACTTTTGTTGTTATTCTCTGATATTTGGTGTACTTTACCTCATATATCCTTTATAATCCTCCCATTGACTTATCCAGAAATTTTTTTCTTTCTGCTCTAACACACTCCAGTCTTTTCTCATGTGAACTATAGGGGCAGCACCATTTCACTATTGGGTTGTCTTTTGATTGGTTCAGTGGTTAGGCTTAAATTTCCAGCTAAACTTAAGCTCCTTAAGGACTACCAGCGGTTCTCAACCTGTGGCGGTCGAACGACCCTTTCACAGGGGTCATCTAAGACCATCCTGCATATCAGATATTTACATTATGATTCATAACAGTAGCAACATTACAGTTATAAAGTAGCAACGAAAATAATTTTATGGTTGGGTCACAACATGAGGAACTGTATTTAAAGGGCCAGAAGGTTGAGAACCACTGGACTAGACTGTATGTCATTTCTAACAGCCACCAATGGTATGAGAATGTTGAACTTGAATGTTTTAATATTCTGTGACATGAAGCCCAATTATTCTCCTTGGCAGAATTATTTCTAAGGACAATTGACTGGGATCTATGCTTTTTACTCATAATGGTCATACTGGAAGAGTGGTAACAGTGTGTGCCTGGTACATTACTAAGGACTTTACATCTATATCTCTAAGTCTTTAGTCTAATTCAAATGAAAATAAGACGCTAAGAGAGTTAAATAAGTTCTCTAAGGATACGATGTCACAGAGCCAATTTTTGAAACTAGGCCCGCCTGAGTCAGAGCCTTCCACTTGCTAGCTCAGAGTTTTGGACTATTAAGGATATAAGCCATATATCTCATACAATCATTTCCCAAAATATACTTGGATGGATGCTTTTTTTTCTGAATCCATTTGTGAGTTAATTAAAATTATATGATTTTAGCAATGCTATTATGATTATTAGGATCATTATCTATGCTAATAAAAGGGTAATATGCTATTAGATCATATAGACCGGATGTCTTCCGGATGTCCTTCCGGAAAAAGCCACGGTGGCAGCGGCTAAGGCAGAGGTGGTTAGGGGTGATCAGACAGGCAGGCAGAGCAGTTAGGGGTGATCAGGCTGGCAGGAGAGCAGTTAGGGGCATCATGCATGCAGGCAGAGGTGGTTAGGGGTGATCATGCATGCAGGCAGAGGGGTTAGGGGTGATCAGGCAGGCAGGCAGAGTGGTTAGGGGCAATCAGGCAGGCAGAGTGGTTAGGGGTAATTAGGCAGGCAGGTGAATGGTTAGGAGCCAGCGGTCCTGGATTGCAAGAGATCAGGCCTAAACTGGCAGTCGGACATCCCCTGAGGGATCCCGGATTGGAAAGGGTGCAGGCTGGGCTGAGGGACTCCCCCATGCATGAATTTCATGCACCAGGCTTCTAGTCTATAAATATAAAAAGCCAGTGAATGGAACACTGTAATGACCGGAATGACCAGTCGCTAGGATGCCCACTGCGGCCAGGGAACCAACCCGATCAGGGTTGGGGCTGGCCGGCCAACCTCCTGCGGCCTCTCCCCCCGGCTGGCCTCACCCCCGATTTGCCCCCCCTACCATGATCGAGGGCAGGGCTGGCTGGCCAACTCCCTGTGGCCCCTCCCCCTGGCAGGCCCTGCCCCCGATTTGCCCCCCCACCCCATTGGCTCTAGGCCCCTCCCCCCAGCTGGCTCCGCCCCTGATCAGCCCCCCCACTCCAATCAGGGGCAGGGCCTGTGACTACAGCCTGCGGCCCCTCCCCCCCGGCTGGCCCCATCCCTGGTTGCCCTCCCTTCACACACTAATGGGGGTGGGCCAGCTGGCCAACCTCCCATGGCCCCTCCCCCGGGCCACTGGCCACTGATCGACCTGCCCACCCCATTCAGGGGCATGGCTGGCCATCCCACTGCCCACAGCCACTCCCCACATCTGGCCCCACCCTCAATCAGTCCCCCCACCCCAATCTGGGGTGGGGCCTGACGGCCAATTGCTCCAAAGCCCCTCCCCCCGGCCACCCTGGCCCTGATTGGGCCCGATCAGACTGGGCCGGCGGACCCCACCCATGCATGAATTTGTGCACTGGGCCTCTAGTTATTCTATAATAGTAATAACACATTATTTTTATCAAGGTTTCCAGTAATCCAGTCACTGTTGCAATGTTTTGTATATATTTTCATGAATAGAAGCAGCTCTTTTATTGCCCCTAGTTTATTGGGATAAGGTCACTGTGGCTCAGAGCAGTTTTATCTTGCCCATGGTCACAATGTGTGAATAGCAGAGCAGAAATTTGAAGGTAGCTTTTTGGTTCTAGTACTCATGCTCTTACTCACAATGCTGATCTCCTCTCAGGAAAACAAAAATATGAAATAAATAAGCATGTAATATGAAATAAAAAAATAACAACTCTGTTTGTCTAATCTATTTTGCCTAAGATTTCCCCTAAGAAATGGTCTTTTCACAGTTTATGTGAAATTCCCAATTTAAAGTATGACCCTGTTGGATATTTGATGCTCGTTCTAGACTCGAGTGCTATGACTCACCTGAGCTGTTGTGGTTCCTCTTGTGTTCTCTATGACCTCATTAAAGTGTAGAACCTGGAAGTGACAGGAAGTAGAACAAAAATCTTTACTCAAAAGATCTGTCTACAGCAGAGGAAATTAAGAGAAAAAAAACAAAGAAAGAAAGAATGGAAGGACAAAAGTAAACCTAAACCCCAAACAAACAAACAAACAAACCAAAAAAACCCTAAACCAAAGCAAAACAAATAAAAAAGAATAAAGAACACTTTAGTAAGAATTTTCTCCTTGAGATAACACAGCTAAGCTGGGTTGTAACCAACCCCTTCAAAGAATCCAATTCATATTCATTCATTGCTGAGGACACATGTGATAATGTTTTCCATGGATTTAAGTCAATGCATTACTTCTACCAATAATTCTCCATTTAAGCCTCACCTCTAGTTGGTGGGCAATGGTAGGGGTTCATTCTAGCTCCCAGAGGAAGTCTAGGAGTATGGAAGCAGTTGGACCAGTCATGGGAATACTTGCTTCTCCTGTGCTACCTATGGGGACAGCCAGCTGTGACCATCTTCACACACAACAACAGAGGGATAAGCCCAATCTAGTCAAAGTAAAGAAAGCTGACACCTACCTTTTGAATTTCTGATGCAGTGCGTTTTCGGGACCCTAAGTATGTCATGGCTAAGGCTGACGTGATACTAAGCGGGGAATAGAAAATATTTTCCTTTGTTGATTTTCTGAACAGCTGGAACAGATCATATGCAAAGCGGGTATTTGCTTCACTGAGTGAATTCATGGTGTCGTTGGTGTGATCTGGAACTCCTGGAAAAGCAGCAGATTCATTATATAATGACTTTACCAAACGGAAGGTTACTGTTTAATCAATTTTTCTTAAAGAAACAACTTGTATTTGGGTTTTAGGATTCTGGCAACTCAAGTGTTTCTTGTTTTTCACTGTTTAAACCTTCTATAAAGCACATGTTTTAATTTCATAATTAGAAGACAAGTACAATTACTATTTTAAGAGTTTTGTGAGAAAGTAAGAGAACATTTTTATCTTTCCTTTGTAACTGGCTGGACTAGGTCTGTGTAGAAAAGACTTTATAACAGATGCCAAGACCATGTGGATAACATCCAGCCAGCTCTCCTGAGGCACCTCTGCCTTCTCCTTCAAGGCTATGTGGTTGCCTCTCTCCACAAGTGCTCCTAAGAGAGTGGTTCTTTATTACTGGGAAATACATTTGATAAGTACATCTTGACAAATCAAGATGAAGTATTTGAATTTTTCCCTGACAGAATAAGTAAAATCCCCTCATACAGAAAGCAATGCATGTATGATAGAAAACACATAATTGCTATTATTACCCGAAACAATTCATGTTGTTAAGTGGGAGCAACTGAGCCACTTACCCGTGTTCGTGGAGGAAGCAGGTAGGCAGGGAGTCTGTGAGTCTATGTGTGGTGAATGGTGAGCTCCTAAATATATACCTCTCCTGCCCCGCCTTCCTATAGTTGCAATGTCAAATAATTCAACATTTTATTTCTCAATCCTTACCCGCAGGGGCATGAAATATTTATTGGTAAAGACATGAAAGCTGCCATATAACTCTACCTTTTTCTCCCTTTACTGCAATTGTGGCCATCATTGGGCCATACGGCATGCATGCAGTTGCCTTACCAATATCAATGAGAATAAAGTTAAAATCCCAGATTCCTCACATTCCTCCAGCTCAACTACCCAGAACCAACACTTAAAAAAATATTTCTCCTCTTGACAGTGAATTGTCTTTCAGATCCACTTCAAACACCAACCAACCAAAAACTTACATTTGCAAATTGAAGTTGTAAAAGGGTTTGTGCATCCTACTACTTCCCTTAGTGGTTATACTGCATAACCAGGAAAACAGCTCAACTTCTGACCAGGTGTTGAACAATATAGGGAGGACAGGAATCATCAACAATTGTTACAAATGACCATTTGCATGGCAGCATTTTGTGTGGCAGCATTTTAACTATGAAACAAAAATAAATCGTTTGAGCAGCCAGGATCATGACACTTCTCTGTCACCCTGCCCTTTAGTATGCCAGCTTCAGATTCATGAGCTGGAGAATGGAGTTAATGACCTGTAAGAAAAAGTGAGAAAAAGGTCTTCATTGAATGCCATGGTTAATTTTGGTACCATCGGACCCTTAGTCTCTTAGTGTGCATGGTGTTCCTAGAGGCGGAATAGTATTAAAATGTGTTGATGTTTATGAGCTGGGATATGTATTTGCCCACTTATGCCTTTATTAACCTATTGAAGCAGATCTCTGTTATACCCATTTCACAGAAGATAGAACTGAGTCATGGAGCAGTTGAACAGAAGCCCAGGTTTTTACAGGTGATGACCTGCACAGGTGAGCTATCTAGACAGATAACCTGGCTCAGGAACTGTACATGTATCCACCATCCACACTATAGTAGGCAGACTCCAGGATAAAACAAGGTATTTCCTTGTCTTTCAATGAAGAGAACTCTTTTCATTGGCACTCACAATAGAGAAAATATCTTCACATAGAATCCAAAGGGGCAGACATGGGTCAATTACTAAGCCCCCAACCTTTCATCTGGGCCTGACAGTCACCAGGAGAGGAAGCATGGCTTTCAGTCACCCTTTTAGGGATTCATCCAGAGGTAACCATGAACAATGTGTGGAGACTGGAATGGGGTGACCTCCTCTGAGCTCAGAGAGAGAATCAAATCATGCCTAACCCTCCCACCCTTCAAACAACTCTGTTCAGCTTGGGTTTAGTAGAAATGAATGACCTTGAGAGGGAAGGAAACTGAAAACAAGAGTGTTTTTCCCCAGAGTACACTGTACCTGAAGCATGGCTGTGGCCAGGGAGAGAGCTGGCATTCCAGGCATCTAGCTCCTATCCCACAGGGGTAAGGATATTTGTCCTGTGGACTGACTTGCCAGGGTTCATGTCCCAGCATCAAGAAGGGTTCAGGAATCTGGAAAAGGGGCTGCGCGTAGATGACATAGGAATCCAGGGACTAATAAAGAGTCCGGAGACGAGATATAATTTTGAAAGGCATTGGGGGTCAGAGGACCTTCAGTCAAAGGAACTGAAGACTCCCTCCTTGTCTAGGACCCTTGCTTTTATTAACACAATTTTTCCTAAGGCAAGGTGGAGATAATACACTTCAATGGGTAAGGTTTCAAAGGGTACAGAGGCATTGTCAGTTTGGGGAATAGCCTACAGCTGTTCAGTTGTTTGGCCAGTAGGAGGCAATAACATGTAGATTAAGATGCCCTTTAACTGTCTGGCAGCCATAATCAGTTTCCTATTCAGGTTTGGGGAAATGCCTTTAGCCATTCCCAGATGCAGGTGACTATATGTGTGACTCAACCCTGTTGAGTCCCCAAGTCTCATCAACCTTTTGATGAAACTCTTGAAATTATGACATGCTGGAATTCGCACTGACTTTTTAATTGATATATAATTCATAAACCATAAGGTTCACCTTTAAAATATGTACAAGTCACTGTTTTTTAGTATATTCACAAGGTTGTACAACCATCACCGTAATGTAATTCCAGAATGATTTTTATCACTCTTCAAAGAAACCCCGTACACAGTTCTCCCTTCCTCCAAAATCTGAGTGGAGTGACAGGGGGTCGTAGATAGTAAAGTTTTGATTTACTAAGGCATAAGTCCAATCCTATATAATAAAAGGCTAATATGCAAATTGTCCCCTCAACTGGGAGTTCAACTGGGAGTTCAACAGGAAGTTCAGCCAGGGGGCGGGGCCAGCTGGCCAACCACCTGTAGTCTCTTTCCTAGGCTGGCCTGGCTGGATCTGCCCTGATTGAGGTGGGCGGGCTGGACCCCAGCTGTGCACAATTTTTTTTTTCCAACTTGAGAGCCATTTCCTATTCACTATAATGAAACAAAAGAATTTAAGAATGAAATTTGGTCACTCACAACATAGCAATAGTAATGTTATTTAAGTGGTTGTTTCAAAAACTCCAGAAACCCAATTGTATTTTCATCACCTACTAAGAGACACTATTAAAATACAAAAACAGAAAAGAAACATAAGCTTTGGAAAAGGTAGACTTTTAATAACTGCTTTTATCACCAGGTTAAGTCATGCAGTTACAAAGTAGTTAGAAATTTCTGAAAGGATATTATTGTTAAAAAAAGAAAAAGCTCATTCTTACATAAATAATATCTAGCACGTCATTGGGACACTACTATTCAAAAGGCCTTGGCAAAACACAACCGTCAACCCCGGGCTGTCTCCAGGCCACTGTTGAAGTTGTGCCGAAGGGGAGGCCCCTGGAAGGGGATGCAAAGTCAGGGTGAGTTGGGCTATTATTGGCAATGCCCAGAGCTGCCAGCCAGACTCCAAAGAGGGAGCCCAAGTGGTTTTTTGCTGGGATACTCTATTTGAATTATTGTTCAACCTGGCAACACAATAGACTTTGAAAAGAGAAGAGCAAATAATTAACATGAGGAGGTTACTACATTCTTTGGGCTGTATGTCATCAATGTGGTTAATAAATTCTGACAGTCTCACACAACAGAAATAGGTGCCATCATTTGCTATGCACCAACAACTGGGCTTGTCAGTGGAAAAAGCCAAAACAAAACCCAGCAACAAAATACTAGTTCTCTTAGAGTTTCTTGCGCTGTGATGTTTTTAGGGCTTGAGCCCTGTTTCACTTATAGGGTCTAGGATGCTTGTGTTGAGTAAAAAGGAGATACCCCAATATTCAAAGCTGCTAAATGTTCTCTTTGCCATAAAGACTCCATGTAACTGTGTGAACATTTGGGATTTTTCTCCTCCGTCCTGAGGTCTCTGTCTGCTTTCTTCTTTGAGTTTCTTCCTAGGAGGATTAGAAGTGCATGAATGGAGGTTTACAGCATCTTCCCCTGCCCCAGGCTCTTGGCCATAGGCAACTTCTTAGCACCCTGAGCTCAGCAAGGGCTCCTGGAGGACTGCTTGGGAGAAGCAGAGAGGGGAGTGCCAAGGTGGCCATATGGTTCCAGGACTAGTGTCTTTATTTTTAACTGTGTGCTACTGCTGCCCCTCCCCGTCCTTGTCTGGTTCTGGGGTACAATCTGGACTAGCAGGAGTTGAATGGGGGAAATGCTGGTTCTCCCCACTTTGGGGGAGGGGTAACACATTAATTGAGCAGTAGGGATAGAAGGTATGAGCCTGGGAGTGCTTTAATAAGTTATTTTCCTTGTAGGTTTTATTTTTAATTTATCTGTGACCTGCCAGGGAAGGGAGAGGAGAGGTTGTGAGCACATGACAAAATAAAATAAAATGGATGATTCAAAAAAAAAAAGAAAGACTCCAAAGAGGGAGCCCAAGTGGTTTTTTTCTGGGACACTCTATTTGAATTATTGTTCAACCTGGCAACACAATAGACGTTGAAAAGAGAAGAGCAATTAATTAACATGAGGAGGTTACTACATTCTTTGGACTATATGTCATCAATGTGGTTAATAAATTAAGTTAATAAATTTTTTTTTTATGAAAAAGTCTTTATTTGAAGGCAAAACAGTAAAACCCACAAGAAATTGTTAACAGCACGTGTTTATGCTTTATATCCTGAAACAGACACATTTAAACAATTCACAGCTACAGAAAACCTAGAACAAAATCAAATATTTTATCACATCAGGTTGAAAAGTTGGAAGATTTTGCATCTTATTGAAAATAATTTTTTGAAAATGTTTCTGTACAAATAAACGGCACCACACCCCGCTGGCTGAAGATACTAAGTACAGCTGATCCGAGCGTGGCCGCCCATGGCTCCCTCCAGGCCTCACCTCCTTGGGGTGCACCGGGCCTCTAGTGATAGAAGAAAACAACAAGAAATAAGACGCAGGATGAAAAAGATTACAAACATGAGGAATAAGAATTCTCAGTCAAGGTTGTATCATAGGCCATTGTCACAAAATAGGGTGGAAACTCCTGGAGCAGGAGAAGGATGGGTTTATTTGGGCTCAAAAAGAAATCAACCTGAGTCCCACAGGACAGAAGCAAGTAGCTCAGCCTGGGCCTGGAAGAAGAAATAGTGTGATGAGGTAGGATGAACTGGCCTTCCAGTGAACTTCTGAGGCTGAATTCTGAGACTAAGCTACCAAGATCCCTCATGCAGAAGTAGGGTTTGAGGAAAAGGCAGTAATTGATAAGAACCAGCAGTTTGCTTAAATATAGAGTTTGGGTTAGCTCAAATAAGCAGACATTTCATACTCTTCCCCTCCCCGCCCCCCACCCTCCAATACATAGAATTATGACATCCTGACCATAGTGTCACTGAAGACTCAACAATTCTCAGAAGTTTTTGCATATGAGTACTTGTCAACTTATGTCTTTGGGTATTTTCTGAATATACACTGACATCATTGGTTCTAGGAATCCAGGAACCCAATGAAACACAAGAGGAAGTTAAGTTTCAGGAACCATCCTT